AGGGCCTAATGCTGGGAAAGATTGAGGGCAATAGAAGAAGGGGACGACAGAGAATGAGGTGGCTGGATGGAGTCACTGAAGCAGTAGGCGTGAACTTAAATGGACTCCAGAAGATGGTAGAGGACAGGAAGGCCTGGAGGAACGTTGTCCATGGGGTCGCGATGGGTCGGACACAACTTCGCAATTAACAACAACAACAACAACAACTGCATTCAAACCACTACATCACCATGCCTCTTAAAACCCAATACATATGACAGGCATGACTTGACAGTTCTTCTCAAATTTGAATCCTTTCCAATTTGCATGCATACATATATCTTTAGTACATTTTTTAGCTGGATGACATTGAAGCAAGTCAACATTCCATCTAAACAAAGCCTAGCACTTCAATATTGCCTTTTTTCTTTCTTTCAGAGAGTCCTTATAAAAATGCACACAATTGGTCACTGAGCTCGCACTACTGTTCTTGCATTTTGCAGGTCCCTTTCTGATCCCCAGTCTCCTGTTTGAAATCAGTCCTAATTTTAGACGTGCACAAATGGTTAAATCATGGCCACTGATCAAGGAAAAGCAACATTTTTATCTGGTGAAAATGTCTATTGCTTTTGGAAAATTAGAGCATGCAGCTATATATTTATTCGTTTCAATGTTTGGTTTGAAGTGAAGTGATTTCAGTGAAAATCCTACCATCGCCACACCACCCCATCAAGCCCCCAAACCAATTTGTACAAGTGCTTGAACTCATGGTCACTGTTTCATGGTTGAATGTTTCTTCCTTCTCCCTGAATTAGTGAGGTGATAGCATCTAGACTGCAGGTTTGCCATGAGCAGAATAATACCCTGATATAAAATTTGTAAATGAATAGTATGCGTCAAACTAGCCAAATACTGAGATAGGCAATAGCATGGTTGATTTACAAGACAAAAGGGAGCACTCTGGTAAAGAAAGCCCCACCAAAGATTTAATATTAATAATTGATATGAACCTTGGAGTTTATTATTTACGTATTAATCAAATTTATACAAATAAATAGGCAGGTAATCCATTTGGCCTTCCCCAACCTTTTGCCTGCCAAAGTTCCTGGTAAGTTTCTTAATGTGTGAGTGGATGGTCATAAAAATTGAGAAGTCTACCATTTTGAACAGTTTTAAAAAACCCTTATATTCATGCTACGCGATTTTTCCTTTATAGCAGGGGTCACCAACCCCCGGTCCGTGGACCAGTACTGGGCTGCGGCATGTAAGCAACCGGTCCGCATAAACAAGGAAAGCCCCATCCACAGGATGTTGGCAGCACACAAAACCACGCCCCCTCCGGTCCATGGAAAAACTTCTCTGCACGTAACCAGTCTTTGGTGCCCAAAAGGTTGGAGACCTCTGCTTTATAGGATGGGTGAACTTTCTAACAACAGGAAGATGTTCTGTGGTTTCTATTATTGTGGCGTGAGCCTGCCCTAAGAACGAGAAAGAAAAACTAGTAAAAAAATAAATTAAATTAAAAAAATGGTTCTGTATTGGCCAACCTAATGTCCATATTCAGAATGCTAAGAGTTGAGTTGAATTGTTAGGACTCTGTTGGTTGCAGCACCTGCTGCTGCCCAGAAAGTGTGTTACTGGCACACAATTGCCAAGCTAAGCCTCGTGACCAAGCTGAAAATTAAGGGAATGCTTGCGCAGAACAGCTGCAGGTTTGAACGTTTAAGCATGTAGGGTGGGATTTATCCATCCCCTTGCATATAACAGCATCCAATGGGGACCTGTTTCCTGGGGCCCAATATTCTCTCAACAATATTCTGGAAGAAAAGTTACTAATGGCTTCTATTTCTGCTGCTCCGCACTTTAGATGTGAAGTGCACTGTTGAAGTATTTTAAACTGAGCACAAGAACATGATGATACAGTTTCAGAACAGTGGCATGTGGCTTGCTCTTGAGGGATGACTGCAACCATCCTAAAAAGGATGGACTCAGCAAGTTTAACTTCTTAAGTGCAAATGCAGCCAATATCTGCCTAAAGCAAAGTCACTTAAAAATACTTTCTTTGAAACTAAGGTTTGCTAAAAGATTGATCATGTGTCAATTCTATGTAGGATTATATGATTACAGTCTCCAAAGTACATGATTAATAGATATGGAATTCTTTCTTTCTTATCCTAACTTCAATGTAGCCTGAATTCATCACCGTTTTGGATGAATAATGTGATATCTATGACAGAAAAAAATAAATCCCCATCTTTAAAAAATAGGCAAATTCTTTTACAGAGGAAAAAATGTATTTCCCATCATTGCCATCTCCCCCATCTCCTTTAGGGAAGAATCCAATTTATTTATTTCAAACTAAGCCACATGTAAGTTTCAGCTGCAAGTAAGGATATGAAACTGATGAAACTGGTACATGAGTGCAACCGTGTGGCTTTTCAGGGAGTTACAAGCTCCAATTACTGCATTTTTTCTCCTGTATTACTTTTTTTTAAAAATTTGAATACTATTTAGTCACTTGAAGTTGGTAACACCATAATTTAGTTAGAATTGCATACATTTTGAGGTCTCTCTCTTTTCTATAATCTCCTCTCTCTCTCTCTCATCTATTGTCTGTCTGTCTGTCTGTCTGTCTGTCTGTCTGTCTGTCTGTCTGTCTGTCTATCTATCTATCTATCATCTTTTTCTCTCTCATTTATCTATCTTCTACCTATCATCTATCTATCATCATCTCTCTCTCTCTCATCTATCATCATCACATACCAAAGGAAAGGGATACATGTATTTCCCAGAAAAAAAATAATTTATTTAGCTTTAAGGCACTCTGCTTAACGAAAGTAGTATCCACTATAAGGAAAATAAAAAGAAACAAAAGAATTCAAGAAACAAAAGAAAATTGGCTGAAAACAATTGGGAAGAGAAAAAAAAATAAAAATATTAGATTTTGCCTCAGTACAAAATCATTCTACCCTTTGTTTAAAACCATAAGTTCAAATCCAACGGTACATGCAATAGTCGGGTCACAATTTTTCATGCTTAGGCAATGTCATTAACATTTCTCTTCATTGTTTTCTTTTCTAGTACCATAAATTAGCAAAAGAGCTAGCAGGTAGGCAGGCTGATGCTCTGTCTAGCTATGCATTTTATCCACTGTTCTCAATAGAAAGACACTTCATTAAAATGGCTTGTTTGTAGAGCACAGGGTTGACC